GTGCGATCTTTTCGATGAAAGGAATGAAAGAAGAAAAAACGGACTTCGTTCGAGATTGAATTAACGTAAGAATAAGAGAAAATAAGAGGGAGAGAGAAAAAAAAAGAGAGAGAGAGAGAGAGAGAGAGAGAGAGAGAGAGAGAGAGAGAGAGAGAGAGAAAAGATGAGTCAAAGATATGGAAAATTGTGTTCACTCGGCGGCTATCCGATTCAATTTCTTCGTATTTTATGATTTCATTTCTTCGATTGATCGATTAAATAGAAATATAGCAAATTAATTGAATAGACTTATTAGTTATATATGGCAATAATAATATTAACAATATTGGATGTATTGATTACTACATCGAATATCTTATGAAATATCAAAAATTATAATAGTTTAATTGCATTCATTTTCTCGAAATAATATTATTTCGCCTTTGGAGACATAATCACTCTCTAAATAATTATTCATCGCTACAAAGCTTCTCCATCTACTTACTCGTGATTAACTCCCCTATTCCTATATTTATATGCATAGGAAACCTATAGGCGCGTTACATATGCAAGCTCATACATATATAGGATGGTCATTGTCTACAAGCTAATATATCTAGCAACATCCTAAATTAATATAATCAACGATCGTTTACGCTAACATAAGATAATACAAAATTCGAATCTCCAAAAACGTCTCGTTCCAACGAGCATCCATAGAAAAATCACGTAGGAAAAAAAAAGAAGAAAACATTGAAACAATTTCGAGATTTTCGAAAACGTCGACAATTTTCTATAACTTTGTAGAATTTCTTCTAGCTCGAATGTACACACTCACGTAGTAGGCAGCAGGCACACACGCCTGTATATATATATGTAAAAGATAACGACTTAGGTTTTCTCGTTGAACGGACAGCTATTCGCGTTGATATGCATCGAAATTGTTCTCATACATATATGCGTCCTCTCTCTCTCTCTCGTGCGCGAACACTTTTATGGGCATGAACGAGAAAAAAGAAGAGGGTAGCTCGAAAAATGCAAAGAACATTCTGACGACGACGACTACGAAGCTCGTTTCTCGGTTGTACTCTTTTCTAACGAGCTGGATATGCTCCTTTCATTCCTTTTTCTTTTTCTTTTCCTTTTCCTTCCCATTCTTTTTTTCCATTTTCCAGAAGAATTCCTACACGTTGTCAGCCATGGGACACACGGTCCCATTCACTTAAAAAGAATCGTCTTACGAAGGACCTGTATTAAAGTTATATTTTTTTCTTCTCCATTTATGTTTGTCTTTTATTTTTTTATTACGATTTTTATACACCTCCGTCACAAATATGAAAAAGGTCTTTGGTCAATTGATTTTATAAACTTCAAAAACTACTCTTCTTTTATATACATCAAATAATTTGATGTATTCCATGTGTGTAAATGTTATTTCGTATATATATATGTGTGGTATATATCACAAATATCACTGAGTCCTAATCCAATTACATACTCTATCTCTCCTATTCTCGTAGTTTAACTAATAGTAACAACTTGGATAATATATAAATATCATTTTCTAATACCACTAATACAAGTGTTGTAATTTATGAATATTATTTTGCCATTAAAAAAAAAAGCTTTTTAGAAAAGAAATTTTCGTCGAGGTTTTTTTAGCACATTGGTGTAATGTTATACACCTATAGCTATCACGTAAATAAATGTATGTACATGCATATATTATATGTTGTATAGATTTTGTTTCATTACTTTATCGCAAGAACGCATCACTTTCTCCATTAGTTAAAAGTAGGTCAATGGTGTACGTAATCTTTATCGCGAAATATGCTCGTTTGTTTCTCAAAATATGCTCTTGCATCCCTTATCGAAAAAATCTTTAGAGTACTTTCCTTTTTCTTCTTGGTATTTTCCTTTAAAACAAAACGATAATATTAGTATAATACTTTGGTTTCTACGTGAATAGTATTATAATAGTAATATAAGAGAGAGAGAGAGAGAGAGAGAGACTAGGAAATTTGGATTAAATATCTTTCGAAATAATCTACGTAGGGTAATACATTTTGCGCAAATAATGTTTCAACAAAGAATTTTTTATCATTTTGTAAAGTGATCAAATCATTTGGATATATATTCTATATGTACACACGCATAATATATTGTATATATTTCAAAGAAATCTCGTCTCTATACTTTTTGAATTCGTAACTAAGGGAAATAAAAAGAGTGAAAGAATGTTTTAAAAGAGCTCCGTAGTCTACTTAAAATCGCGATGAAATAGCTTGGACTACTTTTCGTGATCTTGTTCAATGCTTTTAAAAGTGCCGACACTTCTTTTTTACTTTTTAATCCTGCACAACATCTTGAATCATCGGTGAAGATTTTTTATTTGAAATTTTGTAACGATTTTAACGAAAGTTCGTTACTTCTGTAGACACGTATTATGAAAAGAATAAATAAAAATTGAAGGGAAAAAAAAAAGAAAAGAATACAACATAGTTTCCTACGATTCGTATTTATCCATTAAACTTCATCGCCTACAGACAATAGCAATATAAAATTCTAACCTGTTGCACATTTCTATTTTAGTAAAAGAAAACGAAAGATTTGTTCGAGAGAAGCATGTATTATATAATATATACATACATGCCTACTCTTTCTCTATCTCTATCTCTTGGCAACGTTATTTTATCACGAATTCCCATGTGAAAATCCTCTCGTTGAGATACTTTGATATAAATATTATCTTCTTATATGGTTCGTGATTTGGAAATACAACCGAAATCAAAGCTGCTTCTCTTTCTGTTTTCATTTCTTTATCTTTTCAAAGGATTCTCTTTATTTTCAAAGGATTAGGAAAATTCAATTAATATTATATATGTAGAATATGTATTTTTGTTTTAGTTCCCCCTGACATACTGAGTTCTGGTACATCAGAGGGAGAAGTCTCAGTTCTAGAAGGGGAAAATGCGACCCTTTCTTGCAAGGCATCGGGTAGACCTCCCCCACGAGTTCTTTGGAAAAGAGAGAAAAGTGATTTCATTCTGATGAGAGGTCTTCACGAGACTTTAGTTCAAGGTCAGCAAATGGTTCATTCCTACATTTTCTTATTCGTTCATTTGTATTCTTAATTAAGTGATTTCACTTTTTTTTGTTCTCATCAAATGTCTTCACACATTAGAATATAGAATTCATATTATTTAGATTTTAAATATTGAGTTGAGCGCGATAAATATTGTTAGAATTTTCGGTATTTCATGTTTGATTAAACAACACTACTTTCGCAATAAATATTTTCTAAAGATAAATTTTTCCAACGCGTTATATATATATATATATGTATATGTATTATATAGCACGCAACATTCTATTGTATATCAGATGCAAATTAATATTGAAAATGATAGTAATAATTAACAATATTTTCAGGTGTTGATTATAATTATTATAATGTAGTCGCGAAGAAAATGATTAAAAATATAGTTAAAATCCTATAGTGTATATATATAGTTAAATACATCATTTAAATTGGAAAAATTCGAACAACCCATACACATTTACACATTCTTATCACAGATCGCGAACAAATAGAAGTAAAACGACCTAGGCAGCTCGGTTTAACCTCCTTTAGATCTTCCTCCTCGAATTCGCCTCCATAAAAAGAACTATGTGCCTCGTAAAAACGCACCTTTTCATCTTTATTAGTGCGCTCGGTTCATCCTATCGCGTTTCGTCGAATTACACCCTCGTGTTTTACAACTTTATAGTGGAGGAAGGAATAAGTGCAGAGAAAAAGAAATAGCAAGCTCGTTTCGTCCTTTATCCGAATCTCTAACTGCGAAATTGGACTCTTTGAAATAGTTAAATGTTCCAATGCAAATTGACAAGAAAAATATCCAAATCGATATTAAGATCGTAGGAGGACGTGGCGTAACAATATCTAATATAAAAAATCATTACGCAACTATTATTGGTCCCTATTTTTTCGACCGATTCACTCAATTATGTCTACATGATTAAATCGAATTTGAAAAAATAAAATTAAGACCAGTATATTATCGTGTACGTATGAATCAATTGTCGTCCTCCGATATTCTTTTCAAAGCATTCATCAGTGCCCATTTCAAAATATCCTTGATAATATACGCGATCGTTTCAAGCGTAGTAGATACGTAATATTATACGTAAATTAAATTTATTTCCCATATGGTAGCCGTGAGCATATTTGCCATAATGTTCAATTGTCTGGCATTTGCGGCGTTATTCGCAAATAATACGGGGTGAAAATATTCTAAAGGGGGATTATGTATCCGCGTTTGGAGAAAGAAATCATCTATTTGATAGACACGTATATAGACACCTTTTTTTTCCCGAGAAATTCTTCAATAATATATGTCACAATCATATTGCGTATTTTATTTTGATTTAATTTTATAATAAATAAATGTTAGGTTAAATATGTGCCCGAACATAGACGATATGCACCTTTAGACTGGTAAAAAATCATTCCAAATGGTGCTTGACGTGACGCCATAAGATCGGCGTACCTCTGTGAAATACGTATAGCCAAGTGAACTTTCAACGAAATATTCATACGAAAGGGCTGATTTTATAGTGGACAGCCAGTCCGGCGAGAAGCTGGAATTAACGAGGGTAGACAGGAGGCAAATGGGAGCTTATCTTTGCATAGCCAGAAACGAAGTACCACCGACAGTCAGCAAAAGAGTCTATCTCAGAGTAAATTGTAAGTAACCACCACGCTCGTTAATTTATCCCCGTCTTTATCATTCTATCCATTATTTATTCGTAAACAGGAAAAAGAAAAAAAAAAAAAGAAACAAGTAGACCGTACTATACTAACATATGTTCCTGTTATTACAATAACTCTGCATAATTTTCTACAATTTTGTATTGTATTAAGAATTTTGTGATGTATTTAAGAATATTACCGCCGCGGTAACTTACTACCGCTAGGTTACTGCATGCGTACGTGTTTCAATTTCTATGCGTTTACCTTAATTTTTCACTTGTGGGACTTATCTATTGACAAATTTCAGTCCCCCCAAGCGCAAAAGTACGAAATCAATTATTGGGCTCGCCATTGGATACGGATGTCTCGCTAATCTGTTCGATAGAAGCTTATCCAAAGACGATCAACCTGTGGACACGGAAGGCGCAAGTGATCATGACCGGGTACGTGTCGAATATGGCCCAAATCATTCCGCGTATCGATTCAATTTCCATTTTGATATTAAGCAAAAGCGATCTGTCGATGTAGCGATAGATACGAGATCGACGAACGGACCTACCCAGAGGAAGAATGGAAAACGACTATCGAGCTAAAGATAAAGAGTCTTCAGAAGACGGATTTAGGAGAATACACGTGTTCGGCATCCTCGAGTATGGGAAAAGCCGAAGCTACTATCAGGGTATATGGTAAGTCATCAAAAATGAACAACTCGAAAACTTTGAAAGCATAACAAGAAGGCCGGCCCGCCCCTTGCGCGCGATACACTATAAATAATAATTATTATACTACTTGGTCACACACACACACACACACACACACACAATCTATACATTTTGCAGAAATAGAACGTGCAACGTTACCAACACGGGCAACCTCGCCAAGTTGGAAAAAACAAAACAAAGGTGGTGGTAAATCAAAAACCGTACTTGGGGTCTCAACGGTCAATCGAGTTTTCCACCAGCTGAGCACCCCAGCGATGCAAAAGAGCACGTCTCGATTGATCTTCGGTAACAAATACTCAACGACATCTACTACCGTAGATCCACGAGGCTCGTTCATCGTAAAAGGCAAAAACGCCTACAGTGGAGAAGAGACAAAATCTAAAGAAGAGTCTAAGGTAGAAAACGTTGCCAACATTGGCAGGTTTATATTCAACAAACAAATATATACGATCTGCCTAACGTTTTTATCTACCATACGATAAAGGATGAATTATTTGTTGATTAATACCCCATACAACCACCAACCCTATCGCTATCGCCATCGCCATCGCCAAAAGTATAGGAAAAAAATAGATTACTGACTAATTCTCAGCTCCATAAACCTCCACCTCCCCTACTTCTCCCCTCTTTGTTTTACTCATCTTTTGCGAGGCTGTGTCTGGACCCCCTACGGTGTTAATAAAGAAAAGCTTTTTAAATGCCGTTAGGACATTCTTCGAGAATTTCAAACTTTGCGAATTAGAGATATTGAACGATACTTGCAAATATGTGTATTTTTTATGAAACCATTTGTCCGACTTCGCTCGAATGAAGAGAAATTTAAAAAAAAAACAAAAACAAAGAAGCAAAAAATAGAAGAAGAAGAAGAAGAAAAATACGCGTTATTTTTTCGTTTTAAAACTCATCGAACGTTTAATCTCGGGTATTTTTAAACGAAGCCTTTCATTATAAAATCGATCGATGATCGCCTTCATTTACTTTTTCGATAGAAAATTACGAAGGGCTACTTTTATATATGTATAACGGGGGTTGGTTAGTGTGTCGGAAAGCCTTAAAGGGGTCACGTTTTGTACGCATCGTTAGTGCCGTTCCGTTCGTCCAGTTTTCAACTTAAAACGAAAATGAAGAAAATTCGAATTAATCAAACTGGATTATTCGAATTTTGCTTTACAAGTCATTTCACAGGACTATTGTTTTTATATACCTGCACATTACAAATAATCATTAAGTTGGAAACATTTTGAAAGGATATGCCGAGTTGTATATAATAATTCCACCTAACGATGCATGAACGTATATAATACGATATTACGTAATAAAAGAAAAAGTCAAATAAAATGTATAAGAAGAAAAATGGAAAGGAAAGTGGACACTTACGTGTCTAATATATATATATATGTATTGCTTGTACGTTAGGTGGCAATAGAAAGCTTCCTTTCTATATGCTTCCCCTTCCTCCCCTACCCATCATCTGCATATCGTTACATCAAATAGATATAAATATAAGTCTCCATAAAGGTGGACGTTTCGACGTTATCTTCCATTCTCGGTGGTTAACTGCGAACATAAGTATTACTTATATATTTATTCAATAATGATTCTGAAAAAAAAAGAGAAATAAATATTATATACTAGTATACAGGGTGATTCCAAAACTTACATATCTCAAATAACTTTGAAACTATGTGTCTAATCAAAAATGCATGGATTTTAAGAGAAGCAAATCAATTTTTCTTCTTTGGGGAAATTTCCAAATTGTCAAAGTCCTCGTTTATACTTCACCCTGTACAAATAGACGTCGTCGTCGTTCCGGTAACAACGGCAATGGTGCTGCGATTTAAACGAATATCCTTTCTATTTATTGATCCTACTTTCTAATTAGTAAATATAATTAATCTTTTTGTAAGATCAAAGAATTTTCACGTTACGAGCGAATAGGCACTACCGACCGAATCAAACTATTCGATTTTATTCGAACGCAGACAAATAATTAGCGTACTAACTTATACGTATAAGAAATATTAAGAGATTGTCTTTTTATTTATCGCGACGTTTCGAGAGCTCTTGCTCAGTAATAATATATTATATGTACATATATATAGAAAAGTTCTTATAATCATAGATTTCATATACAACAAAATAATTTTAGTAGATGACATTTTCCTTATTTTATCTATAATTTCTTCATCAATGTTTTCTCGATGGTCGGTAAGGAAGTAATTTACTTCAAATAGTAATCATTATCAAATTAGATACATTTTTTATTACCTTTTGTAATTAATTTTATCTTTACATATAGATATATA